TTCTTTGAATCACTTCACCAAGATGGCCAGATGAATAATCTTCCCACAGTCTCTCCAAGATCTGGAGTGAATCACACTTCACTGTTATCAGCAAACTTCCTGTACGAACATCTGCAATAAGGCCTCCAATTTTTTCCATGTAAGTCAAAAAATCATCACAGTCATCCTTGCAACTAAATGGTTTCACGCGAAGGTAGTTGGTAGCAATTAAACGTAAGACTTGTCCTTCTGTAGGAATGGAATTGGGTGTTTGGGGAGCTTCAGCATTTGCACATGAAGACTGGTTCTGTCCTGATGACACAGGTCCTGCAGATGCACCATGTTGCCCAACATTTCCTGATCCCCCTGATTCTATGGTTGAAACAGGAGTTCTATCCTGTGTGTTGTGTTCTGTAGGTGTCATGGTTTCCACATCAATCTTTAATTTCAAAGCTGATGAAAAAATTATTTTTTAATAATTGCACATATTAGTTTTTAAATCCTTTATTAGTTGTTATATATTTACTTTTGTTATCAGGCAGACATGTCAAGGGAATTATTATAAGCAAATGGTCAANATTATTTTTTAATAATTGCACATATTAGTTTTTAAATCCTTTATTAGTTGTTATATATTTACTTTTGTTATCAGGCAGACATGTCAAGGGAATTATTATAAGCAAATGGTCAAAAATATAATTATATACTTTTTTGCCCTGTAACCCACTAGGAAAAATTAATGAACATCTAAACAAATGATTCTTCCCACTAGCGCTTCCTAAAATATTAGAACCAGTAGGGAGAACTGGTGTAAACGTACATGAATGTTAAATTCTCAACAAAATGCATTTAATTAAAGCCCAGTTCAGACTCCGTAATTCACATGAGCAGAATCAAATTCAATGAATCAAGTTCATATAAAGTACAGTGTCTGAATCAATTGGAAACAGCAGATTGAATTCGCATAGACTTCGCTGTTTTTCAGCCCCTGGCACAGCCAGGAATAACAGCTCTGGACCAGATTCGATTCAGATACTGACCTTTAAATAAGCCGAACCAATTAAATTGAAGGGATGTGTGGAGTAAAGCCCTAAGTGACTTTGGAAAATTCTGAGGTAGGCAGGATTGAAATTCATGTACTTACCAGCTACGTGTATTTTCACAGTTTACTCTGGTCTTAATTATTGTCTAGAAAGAACTCTTAATTATTACCAAGTTCTTTTTAGACAATAATTAAAACCAGAGTAAACAGCAACAATGGCTGGAATGTATTTCAATATTAGTTACCTCAAAGTTTTCCAAACGTCACTTGGGGCTTTATTTCACACACCCCTTCAATTAATTTTAATTCATGTATTTGTAATGTATTTTTAAGACCTGAGCATGGACAAAAGACATTAGTATACATTGTACATCAGTGCATTAAAATGGCAGCTTGGTGGGTTTCACTCCTTAGAGAAGAGGTTGATATGTGCAGTTGGTGTTTTCCTGTTTTTGTGTGCAAACTTGCTGCCAATAGCTTGGTAAACAGCATCAAATTTAATGTGCATTCATCATGGTTTTCGTGCTTTTGTTTGAATTACATTCAAACATTGCATTTGTTAATTGACCTATATATTGCAGTTATGCTTTTTGCCCAACAAGTGCTATATTTCATGACACACAAAAAGGTTCAAAGTTGAAATTGTAAGTTGAAATTAAGTTTATACAAAGTATGAACTGGTTTATCAGTTGTTTTGCCCTAGCGGTTAAAGAGGTTAAATGCAGTTTGCAGTTTGCTTTCAGTTTCACAACTGACCAAAATGCACTTTTATCTCCTACTGAATTTAGTTCAGTTGGAATTACTGGTAAGATCCACACCTCAATGAATTCAGCTTATCNATTTGAATCAACATTAGGTAGTTCTTTCACTGAACGGGACTTCAATTTACTTGGTGGTTCAAGGAAAATGTTATTAATAATACAGTTAGATAATAATATTATTATTTATTATTAATTAATTATCAATTTATGCATATATTTTGGTGACTAAAATTTTTCACTGGCGACCAAACCTGAACAGTCAGTGGCCAAATGGCCACTAAGGAAAAAAGTTAACTTGGAGGGTTGTTTTAAGGTTGTATTCAATCGTTTATGTTGCTGAGGAAACTACAAAAACGTCAAATTTTACCTATCAATCACAATCTTTTCTCAGCATACTTTTCACCTTCCAAGTTTCAGCTTGTGAGCTGCACCTTTCTCTTGCTATCATTTGGAAAATGACATACAACACTCACAAACTGCCCAAACTGTGTTTAGCCACCATAATTTTAAACTATTCTGACGAATGGTGAGGCATCAAATCAAGTAAACAGGGTATTATTACAGTAACTGTTTTACCTCACTAGACTAATAGGTATTTGCGAGTTGAAGACAGGGCTCGACACTACGGTAGCCAACTAGCCACAGACTAGTAGGAATTGGTTTTGGCTAGTAGGTTTTCAATTCCCACTAGCCACTTTGGCTAGTCAACAAAATGAAATTGGCTGAACTAGTTTGTCTTCTTCAAGGAAGACAAACACAAAATTTAAATTGTTCTCGGAAACAATGTCAAAATTTTACTGCAGACATATCATGGTACTGGGCATGTGCTGTTCAGCAAGTATGTCTACTTTTCGTGGTGTTTTACGTAAATGGGGAACTGAACATGTTAATTTTGTTGAAAGAAACATTTGACAAACTAGACAGCATTTTCTGAAAGCACACATCAATGCTCTGTTTTTGTTACGAATTTTTTTTTCATGCGAAAATAGTGCGGAACTGTAAGGGATAACATTTCATTTAGCATAACAATATATGGACGATTTGTTGTTGCATGCATACTTACAAACTTACCACCACAGAAATAATTAGATGAGAAAGATTTATTTCCTTGGACATTTAAATCAGCCATTTTTAGCAGTGAAATTTCGCCAGCGACAGTTTACAATATTGTTCAGAAAGTTGTTTTGCCTTTGAAACATTTCTACAGCGCCTGTCTCTGAAGAAGTCTCGATAATTTTTACAGTGAAGTCTTGGTGGTCTCGATATTTTCCAAGGAAGTCTCAGAGAAAAACAGAGTCCTGAAAGTCTTTTCGAGAACTGGAACTTTTTTGAAACTAGTTTAAGTACAGTATAATTACCAGCATTATGTATTAAAGAGAGTCATTTGCATTGTGCTTTCAAGTCTTGCTAGTATATTCTGCTGTTATTGGACCTACCTGAAATTTTCGCGACACATTAATTTTGCGAATTTCACGATATAAAAAACATCGCAAATTTGAAGTGACGCAAATAAGTAAGTGTCGGGAACATAAAACATTATGTTACTGTTGACATATAGTCCCGCCATTGCGTTTTTGTTACTTTTGACATTATTGTACCTTTGATAAAGTCAGTTCACTAAATTCAAAGACATGTTTAAGTAACATTGCAAAGCAAACAAATTTTGTATTACTCAAAAACGCAAAGTTAAAGTGATTCAAAATACAAATTTGTGCAAAATCGTGAACTTAAGTGTCGCGAAATATGTGCACCCCCAAATTGCGAAATAAACGTGTCGCGAAAATTTCATGTAACAAAGTAGCCAACCTCAACGCTTGGCTAGTGAAAAAATGTTTTTGGCTAGTAACATCTTAGTCACAAGCCACTTGGCTAGTAAGTTGAAAAGTTAGTGTCAAGCCCTGTGAAGATAATAGACAAGAAAAAATACAAAACTATAACAGAAATGGAGAGGCTCTTATCATAAAAAACCAGCAATGAAAACGATCAAAAGAGATGCAGGGCTGTCCTTTCCAAATATAAAGCATAGGAAAACTACTCCCATTTTCCCATCGGAAAGCTTTTATAAAGAGTAATATCAAAAGATTGATGATTAAGAATCATACAGTACCTAGGTGAAAAAGTTAAACACATTTCAAGTTATTGTAATATTTCTTTGTTTTTTTTTTTTTTAATTTTAAACTATTTGTACGAGTAAATACGGAATTATTAGAGTTTTACAGGGCTAGATATGAAGATTACCTTTCATGTTGATCAGTAGAGTCAATGATATTGTTCTCTTTTTATTTTTTTTGAAACACATGAAAAGAAGAGACCATGAATGAAAAAGAAATTTTTTTTCATAATTTAAATGTGATAACTGTTTTTGTTTTTGTTTTTTATCAAATAAAGTAGTTATATCTATTCTAGAGATAATCTCAGCATACTGTTATTGATATTTCACGGAGCAACATGATTATTTTAGACGAAATCAGATAAATTATAGCAGAACTTAGAAATCATCTAATTCGGTAAAACAAAAGATTTAATAGGACAAAAATGACAGCCACTTAGCGTGACATCGATAGAGCGAATTAGTCATTTAATTTTTGTTTTGCTAGATAATAATTGCGACATATTCAAAGATAATAACAGAAAATAGTTAGTCGTAAATAATGAAGGCGTTAGAAATATTATACTCATGAACAATTCTAGTTTCAACCAAGAACAAATAAATTTTTCAATTATAGGCATAGTGGACCATTTTACCACCATTTTTAGTACCTAAACTGATAACATTGTTTTTCAATTTGCTACGTCAGAATGTCGTTGACATCCAAAATCGACCGTTGTACGGAAAGGTCCATCCTAGCTCTGCTATCTACTTATCAAGAATATCTGATGACAGTTAAATCAATGACATCACAAGTGTTACAAAGAGCATGACACATAAATTACACGTATATGCGTAACTGGTAACCAAAGGGTTAAATGTGAATTCGCGTTTTTTGATTTTTTTATCCTGATAGTTTGGTCAAATGCTCGCGTAACTCTCCTAAGTTTTAAGTCATGCATTAACCCCTTCCCCAGGCAAGGAAATGTAAAAATCAAAAAACAGCACAAACATCAGTGTGATGCATGGGCAAATTCAAGACTTGCTTGTCTTTCATCAGTTCGTTGTCCTTATCCTCTTTCCGGTCAACTGTCTTTTATGTATTTGGCAGTATTTCACTTGGGTGTCTTGCTTGACAACGACTGAATTTGCGGCACATGATCCAATCATAAAGCCTTCAGAAACTTTTAAGGTTGACTGAAAAATTATGAAATGCACATAACTTATACATCTGACTCTGGCACTCTAAGCTTTTGACTTATGTACATGTATATTATACAACAGTCAACTGATATGCCACCGACAGTTGACTGACATACCACCAACAATCAATGGTCAAAGCATTGGTCAACATATCGACTGATATATCAACTGAGATATTGACCAATAGTAGGACGATATGTCGACCGACACTCGGCCGATATCTCAGTCGATACATGTATATCGGTCGATATGTCGACCAACATATCTCTGTTGATATATCGGCCGAGTGTCGGTCGATATGTCGACCAATACATCGGTCGAGTGTCGGTCGATATGTTGACCGATACATCGGTCGAATGTCGGTCAATATATTGAGGTGCACAAATTACACATGATCCGAAAAAAGCATAATAGTGGAACAGGAAGACATAGTAAACATACCACTTAAGCTTTCCACTAAATCCTGGATCATCCCTTTGAATCTCTTACATTCATTGCTCCAAGGGTAAGTTTTATTGTAGTTGTCTCTTAGCAGTCTTGCACTGTTTTCTCTCTCTTCTTGACTTTGGCTGCACAGTTGTTGGATCCTTTGAGCCTACTCTTCAGGGTCATTTGATTCAACAATGACAGACTTTCCACCTTCTACTTCATGCAAAGCTTCAGCTATTCCTGATTCACCTGCAACAAGAACAGGTATACCAGCAG